ATGATACAAGAAGGATTTTTCCTTTTATGATTTATTGTTATTTCTACACATTGCCTAATTTGTCCGTAACAGAGTTGACAAACAATACCATAAAAACATCTGTTTTTTCATTAAAAGTGAAAAAGGGAAGTAACTTGTGTTTGGCAAGCACTGAATTATTAAAATTGAATATGTTTTCAATAAGATACTGGAAAGAATTTCTTTTAGTGAAGTTTTTTTTTTCTTAACTTTATGAAATGCCAAATGTATCTCCAATTATAGAATCACCCATATGCACTGAATTTTTGCATCCTTTGTAGGCGTATGAGATCGTATCTCGAGAGCGTATCATCACAATTATACTTCTTTAAAAATATTATAATTACATGGCAACAGAGTTGAATTCTTACCTGATCTTGTTTGTATCTTGGCTCTGGGCAGAAACCTGACATGTGAGTCATTTAATTAGTTAACATGTTTGTGCTCGACTAATTGGTGGTAATGTATGTATTTATGTGATTTAAAGCTGTCTGACATTAATTTGGATGCCTACAAACATACTTTTTTATTATTATTATTACTTATTTCATAATAGTTGAAGAGGTTTGGTGTGCACAAAGTAGGAATCTGTTGATAGAGACACCTGGGGTTCAGAGATAGTTAATTAATTGCCTTAAGTAGCTGAATGACTGAATTTGGGCTTTAACTTCACAGGACAAGCTGTTGGAAAATGGATAGATGGATTTTATAGTTCCAGTATAGCTAAAATCTACATTATAGTGGTAACAAGGGAGTAAAATCAAGCATTTCTGAGCATTTTTTTTTCCTAGATAGTAAACTGGAGCCAAACTATTTTCACAAAAAAACTATATAATTGTTGTTTAAAATCTCATAAACATTATTGAGATGATGCACCCTTATAATATTTCAACAACATTTCTCTCTTTTTTACTGGATATTGTATACAATACATTTTCATATGAAAAATATCTGCTCCAAGTGGACAATTCTGTGAAGACATAGGTTTTTTTTTTTATTTTTAAGGTATGCATAGGTGAAATATTATCTCAGTTCCAAATGTTGGAATGTAAGGACTGTTTGTCTAATGATACAAGAAGGATTTTTCCTTTTATGATTTATTGTTATTTCTACACATTGCCTAATTTGTCCGTAACAGAGTTGACAAACAATACCATAAAAACATCTGTTTTTTCATTAAAAGTGAAAAAGGGAAGTAACTTGTGTTTGGCAAGCACTGAATTATTAAAATTGAATATGTTTTCAATAAGATACTGGAAAGAATTTCTTTTAGTGAAGTTTTTTTTTTCTTAACTTTATGAAATGCCAAATGTATCTCCAATTATAGAATCACCCATATGCACTGAATTTTTGCATCCTTTGTAGGCGTATGAGATCGTATCTCGAGAGCGTATCATCACAATTATACTTCTTTAAAAATATTATAATTACATGGCAACAGAGTTGAATTCTTACCTGATCTTGTTTGTATCTTGGCTCTGGGCAGAAACCTGACATGTGAGTCATTTAATTAGTTAACATGTTTGTGCTCGACTAATTGGTGGTAATGTATGTATTTATGTGATTTAAAGCTGTCTGACATTAATTTGGATGCCTACAAACATACTTTTTTATTATTATTATTACTTATTTCATAATAGTTGAAGAGGTTTGGTGTGCACAAAGTAGGAATCTGTTGATAGAGACACCTGGGGTTCAGAGATAGTTAATTAATTGCCTTAAGTAGCTGAATGACTGAATTTGGGCTTTAACTTCACAGGACAAGCTGTTGGAAAATGGATAGATGGATTTTATAGTTCCAGTATAGCTAAAATCTACATTATAGTGGTAACAAGGGAGTAAAATCAAGCATTTCTGAGCATTTTTTTTTCCTAGATAGTAAACTGGAGCCCCTCCAACAAGCTTCACACAAAGGTAAAAAAAAAAAAAAAAAAGTGAGTAGTCAGTGCTTGTCCGTGCAAAACTCGCTGCCACAATGCAAGAGTGTTGTAGGTGGTTATTGAGGTTTATATGTTGAAGTGCAACATCTAAGGTACATCTAACACCCACATAAGAGTAATAGTGAAAGTGATGCTTGCCTTAGCAAGACACGATACTTATAGCCTACTTATCAGATGGTATGTAGTGTCCAGATTTATAATATTTATAATTAATGATAATTTGACTTGGGAACCATAAAACATACACATTCCAACATTTTGAACAAAAATGGTTGGTTGACTTTCAGATGGCATTGCTATGTTTAAAAAAAAAATGCATTGTCATTGGTTACATTTGCACTATACCACTCAAAAGTTTATTAATATTATTTATTTAAACATCTGGATAATGATAAAGTAATTAAATAAATATGGGAATTATGTAGTGGACAAAGTGCAATGATTTTTCCTTCATTATCCACTCTTATTTTTGAATTAAAAAAAAAGAAGAAATAGAAATAAAACTATTGTAATTTTAGTTTTGTAAAATTATTATAGGTTTCTGTAACCAAGCCTGACTGCTGAGAAAATAGATAGGTGCTAAGATTGTGGTCTGCCAAGTGCTAAACCACTGCAGCTTCCAACAATAATGATCAGCTCAATAAAGACCACAATGTGAGAGTTTAGTGCAAATGTTCAAACTATGCCAATTAGTGCTGTATGAATCTGAACTGCAGGATAGTGGGGGGTGTTTTTGTTCTGTAAAGGAAATGTGTGGGTTTCTTTCATTGTTTTTGTAAAGAATTCAAATAAGGTGAGTGCGTGTCCTTGAGGAGGTATATTTTAAAAAGGCGTGTCTTGAGACTTGAGTCTTGAGCGTAAATCATAGGTTGGTTGTTCAGAGGGGTTTTATCACTGAAACACTGCATTCTTTAAGCCCGGAGTGGAGGACGCACACTTCTGAGACAATAGTATGGTCACCGTCTTTAACACAAACATGGATCAAATAACAGAGAACATCATTCTTGAAGTGAGTATTTCTGAACTCTCAACTTTTTTTTTGTTTTGTTTTGTTTATTCGTGATCATTTATGGTAAGATGTTTCCTGTGGACCGGTAGTCATCATTGATTTAATTTGCATCCTGTCATAAATAAATAAGAGAAATATACGATATCAAATGAATTCTACATTTTAAGAACAACAGCAAAAATACAGCCCACATGAAATATCTTTAGATTGTTTCTTGTGAATACTTTCGTCTAAATCACAGTTTGCTATATTATTATTAATAATTAATTGTATTATTAATAATTCATTTAATTTTAAATACTGAAAAAAAAAAAAACAGGAAGTGAGATTTCCTTTAAATTGCTTCCTGTAAATGCCACAAGTGTATATAAAACTGTTGTATGCAACAGTTTCCAGTTAAATAAATAAATGGCAAATGATTAAGCAGTAAGATTTAAGTAGGCAAATTGTTAACAAAATAATAATCAGTTGATTGGATCGGTCAGTTGGAGGGCATCTATTGTAAATTGTGTGGTGTCCAGAAAATAAATCAAATGTTGTTGATTTGAATGTCTGTTTTCAGGATTTGGATTTAAATTACTATGAGAATGTGACAGAAGGACCTTCTGATGGAGTAATGTACACCTGCAACAATGAAAGTAACCCACTGCATCTGTTTCACACCGTGTTTCAACCTCTTGCATATGGTGTGGTTTTTTTCCTGGGCCTAACAGGAAATGGCCTCCTCTTGACCGTTCTGCTTAAACGGCGGAGGAACCTGCGCATCACCGAGATCTATCTGCTACATCTGGCACTGGCTGACCTGCTCCTCCTCTTCACTTTACCGTTTGCAGTTACTGAAGGGGTGGCCGGATGGCTTTTCGGAAACTTCCTGTGCAAGCTATTGGGCCTTGTTAATCGCCTAAATCTGGTGTGTGGGAGTCTGCTTTTGGCATGCATCGGCTTCGATCGCTACCTCGCCATTGTGCACGCCATCCCCAGTCTCCAGACCCGTCGGCCTAAGACCGTTCACCTCACCTGTGCACTGCTCTGGCTCCTGTGTCTATTTGTGACCATTCCCAATATGGTGTTCCTGTCTGTGGAGAAAGAGAAGAACAACCCTTCCAGATTCTTTTGTTCTTACAACAACCATGCCATCCATGCAAACAACTGGATGCTGACCAGCCGCTTCATCACACACCTGCTGTGCTTCTTTCTGCCTTTGGTGATCATGGGGTACTGCTACACTACTGTAATCATCACTCTTTGCCAAAGCCAAAGAAGTCTGGAGAAACGGGGAGCAATTCGACTGGCCCTACTGGTTACACTGGTTTTCTGCCTGTGCTGGTTACCGTATAACATCACCATTTTTATGCATACCCTGGTGGTGTTGGGTGCTGTGCCTGAGAGCTGTCATACTCGCAACACACTGAAACAGGCGTTAATAGTCACAGAGAGCATTGGCTTCTCCCACTGTTGTCTGAATCCAATCTTGTATGCCTTCATTGGGGTCCGTTTCCGAAGAGACCTCCTGCAGTTGCTTGCAAAGATAAAGTGCCTGCGTGTATGCCTGTCAGGTCAGCGCACAAAAAATTCGAACAGGGTATCTGTCTCAGAGGCTGTTACTACTACAACAAGTAGCCAATACATCTAATAGCAGCTGGACATTTTTGTACATTTTTTTTTTTTAATCTTTAAATTGCCAACTATCTGTGATTTAGTTTACCTGCATCCTGAGCCTATCACTGCACATGACGAAATGCACATAATGTGAGCGCTTGAAATCATATAAATTTGGACAATCTGTAAGTCAGAGGTTGAATTTCATTAATAAGCAAAGCTAAGCATATTAAATGAAATGTTGTAGTGCTTTGCATTGTTTTGAATAGATTATATTAAATACCAGATAACAAATGGTTTTGTAATAAATGGAAATAAAAAGTGATATAATCCTGTCCTGATTTTTTTTTTTTGTGATCATCAGTCAAAAATGTACCCTCACACACATCAAACAAGGTCAATACAAAGTAAGTAAACTGATTTGTTTTCCATATTTGTTATTAGATTTCTAATAAAACACAGTATACAGAACAGTTGCAAACAAGCACAAATTGCATCTTATTTACAGCAACTATATATATATTATATTTATATAGAGATATTTATATATTACCTTCCACAACAGTTTGGTAGCCAGAATGTAATTAGAACATAGAAACCCAGAGGCTTTTTCCTTTTGCCTTTGCAATCAAACACATTGATCTGAAATATACATATTTTACAATTATCTTAAAAAATGGCTTCAGATTGTGTTACTTAACTCTAATTATAACCCTCAACAGTTTTCTTTTCACCAAAAGATAACTTCAGCATCAAGAAATTATTACTAAAACCAATATGTTTAGCATCTGATTGCCACAGTTAGTCAGTGGCAATAAAAAAAAAACGTCCAAATGAGAAATAGCCATTAAGAAACAAGGTTTTTACAGTTTTACAGAGAAGCCAGATTAAAAGGGCATGTTGGCCATACTTCCAGGCCCATAGCCCAATGGGCTGTCCAAGGACATGCTCCGTTGTCTAAGACTCTGGGGGCCCATCATGCCCGACTGTGAATGTGGAGGTCCCATCATAGGCCCCTGAGGGGACATGAGGGCACCCTGCTGGCCAAAGTGTTCCCCAGGGAGAGCCATGCCCCGCTGCTTAGCCTGCATAATCATTAGATTCTGCTGGGCCATAAGATTATGAGGGTGCTGCTGTGGAGACAGCATGCCCCGGGGAGGGTGGGATGGGTGTTGTAAGAGGTTGTTGGCCATCATGGCCTGCTGCTGCTCATGGTGATGTTGTTGCTGGAGCTGTTGTTGTGGAGACATGCCTGTCCTGCCCATCATGTGCCCTGGGTGGCATATGGGCCCCATCCCACCTCCTGATCCCATGCCCCTGGCACCGATCTGAGTCATGCCCATACCTGGCCGCATTCCACAATGTGAATGTGAGGGGTGTAGAGGCAGCTGTTGCTCAGCCATCATGATCTGTAGGTTAGCGATATGGGGGTTGGAGGAGGGAACACTGCTATGTGGAGGTCCAGATGAGGAGAGCTGTTTAAGAAGTTGAGCAGAAGCAGCATGTGGAGGCAGCTGGCCCTGGTGTGGATTTTGCTGTGGCTGGGACATGGCTTCACTTTTGGGGAAGTACTGCAGGGTGCTGCTGGGCTCCTGTATGTGTAGGCCTGATGACCTCACTCAGGTCTGGACCATCAGCCATGGGCATGGATGGAAAAGAGTCTGGTTGGTGAGGAGGCCGCTGGTGAGACATGCCTTTGCTTAGAAGGTGCATCTGTTGGGGTGGTAAGACCTCTGCGGGGCGCTGGGGGTACTGCTGCCCCATTCCACCAATAGGGGAGTGAAGAGGTCCCTGCATGCGAGGGAATCCTCCCATGTGGTTTTGGGGAAGCATTGGGGAAACATTACAAGGCCCTATTCCATCCGGAGGTCCCCCTCCACCTCCTATTATTGCTGAGGTCATTCCTGGCATTCCCATAGGGTTAGGGGATGGGAGCATAGGTCCAGAAGGATCGTGGGATAGCTGTGGGCCTCCTTGGAGAACCATTCCCATTGGACTTTGCGGACCGCTGTGAGGTCCCATTGAGGTGAGAAGCATCTGCGTAGACTGGTGATTTCCCATGTTGCCTACTGGAAAAAAGGTTACATGTAAAGATTTTAATGAAACTTCTCTTTTAGACAAAGAAAATAAGATAAAATAATATAACAGGGCATCAAACGATGATCTGAAGGAGAAAATGGTGCAGTGTTAGTTCTGGATTCTAAAACAGGTGATCAAATGTACTGTAAAATCTGTACCTGGCATGTTTATTCCAGGTAGGAGGGGTCTATCGGGTAGCATCTCATCATCTGATGTGGCAATTGTCTTGATGGCATCATGGTACAGCGGAGTGGAACTAGGCATGGCATACTTTGACATCTGAGACATTATTAGGGATAAAGGATTCTGGGAGGGAGGGACATCTGGTGAGGATGTGAAAGGCATACTAGGATTGATAGAGTTGGATGGCTGACTGATGGGTGTTGAGTTGGAACTCCTAGGTGGCAGGGACATACCTAATATAAACCAAAAAAAAAGACAAACAAAAAACATGTAATTCATGTTAAAGCGTAAATATACACAAAACCCTGAAAATCCAAAACGTTTTTCATATTTCAGTGAACACCTGTATCAGTACCTATAACTTTACCTGTATCAGTGGAGCTGCTACCTCCATTGCCTGCGACCTTGACACTAGGAGGCCCCCCAGGGCTAGGCATAGTAGTCTTGGGTGAGGCATTCCAGCCAGGTGAAGCAACAGGCATGGTTGGAGATTTAAGGTGTCCAGGGGAGCCAGACGGTGAGCGAAGACCAAGAGAAGAGCCCATTACCTGGGGGGACTTGATAGAGGTCGAAGAGGGTGTTCCAGCCCCAGAGGCTGCAAGTAGAGGAGGGTGAGTTGGACCACTCTGTGGTAGTTGGCTGGGTGATTTCAGGCCTGCTGCAGAGGGTGAAGGCATGAGGGGTGATGGCTCCTGACTAAGAGAGGGCGATTTGAGCTGGTGAGATGGGGGTATAGCTGGGGAACCCATTGGGTTAACACTAATGGGCAGATCAGGAGGGTGTCGGGCACCAAGGTCTGTACCTCTTGAGCCAGGGTTCATGGGAATGTGACTAAGTCTTGAGGTGTTGCTCATGTGGGGAGGACCTGGCTGGTCTGGTCCAAACATATCAGGGCCTGGCTGCTGCATATATGAGCCATCACCCTGACTACCAGGAAAGGAGCTCTGGTTGGGAAACTGAAGAGGTCCATCTGGGCCAGGGATCATTCCTTTGTTAGCACCACCCCGGCCATTCTGTGAAGCCCTAATGCGGGAGATGTCATCAGGGTTCAACATCTCCCCAAGCGGTCTGCCAATTCCAGGACCCCCCCTCAGCTTCTGAACCAACAACTGCTGCCCCTGTGGATTCATATTCATGCCCATATTCATATTGAGGTTACCCCCTAAAGGAGAGTCAACTATGTCTCTCATTGTGGGGCCACCATCACTGCCTACTCCATCAATAGGAGAGCCCATTATAGTCCGAGAACCAGGAAAGTCCATTGGATCACCACGGGAGGGCGGGCCTCCTCCCATTCCAGGATTGGGGAAGCCTGGTCCCCCAGTATTATCCATCATCCTAGGACCTCCAAGTCCTGCCTGCTGTTGCTGTCTGGACATTTGCTGCAAGTCCAATCTATGGAGTCTGCGGAACATCTCTTCCCGTGTTATGGGGCGATCCAAATCACCCTGAAAGGGCTGGTGAGGTCCCCCAGGCCCCCCTGGAGGATAGCACCCATGAAATGGGCCTCCACCACCCATGTTTGGAGGCATCTCGTCTAGCCAACCCATTCCTGGCCTTGGAGGTCTTTGAGGCCCTAACCCCTCCATACCTAGAATTCCTCCAAGACTTTCTGGGTAATCCCCACCCCCTGAAGGACCTCGCATCTGTCCAAGAAACCTTGGCCCCCGAGGACCTTCCTGATGCATGTCTTTTAGTCGTGAATTCCCTCCCATTCCTCCCCCTACCATTGGCCCTGGCCCCCACTGTTGATCACCAGGTTTACTATGATATGGTGGTGGGGGTCCCCTCATCAGCATTTGAGGCCCCCCAGGCATGCCCATCTCTGGCATCATGCGGAAATGCTGGGGATGTTGGTGGGGGTTCATCTCGTGTTGCCGCCTTTTCTCCTGGTAGTACTCTTCTTGTAGCTTCCTCCAAGCTAGCTGCTCTGGTGTTACACCTTCGGGTCCCAGAAGGGGCCCCATGTCTAACCCTGAGGGTGAGGAGAGGTGGTGGGAATGTGGTGGCATAACATGGCGTGGGCCCATCAGTGAGTCATCCAATCCAGGCCCACCAAGATTATGTGTCTGTGAAATGATGGACTGTAACGGCTCCTCATACTTTTTCATTCCACCAACAGGGGGCATACCAGGTATACCAGCATTGTTGCTATGGCAATTACCAGTATTCCCCCCACCATTCTCACCATCTTCCAAACCTCTACCTCCATCATTACTATTATTGTTATTAACATTAGTGCCATTAGGATTGCCATTAGGACCTCTTGGTTCCTCGTGGCCTGCACCGGCTCCAGTATGGAGAAGCAACCTCTCAATATCTCGAAGAGTCTGTAAAGAGCGTTCACGATGTTCCAACTGCTCCTTAGACAGGCCATCTGTGTTTCTTGGCCCTCCACGTTGGCCCGGTTCGCTCTGACGGTGTACAGATAATGCAGAGGGACTTAACGAAGGAGACACACCTGCACCATGGTGGGCAATAGTACCTGGCCTGTCCACTCCGTCTGGTCCTGAAACTCCCACAGACTGTGGGCCGGAACTTCCTTGGCCCAGTGAATGAACTGCAGAGCCTCCTCCTCGGAGGGTTTGGGCTGGCTCACCATCTGGATGCCCTGTAGAAGAAGGAGTACTGGTACCTGGAAGGTGTCCTCCAACAACTCCACCAACAGAAGGTGGCCGGGGTGTACCACTTTGGGATTTGGGTGTGCCAATGGGCGGACTGTGAGTAGAGCTGATCTGCTCTGTCAGGTTGGAGAGTTTTCCAATGCCAGAAGACTGCTCAGACAGATACAAAAAAAGGAAAGAGAGAAAGAAATGGGTGCTGTTAATGCCATTATTAATATCAGTTCAATACATCACAAAAGACTCGAACTGTACTGTTTCTCATCAAAACAGAAACAGGAACAAAGATAAGCATTGTGATTTAAATAGCCATTTAAACAAATACAGTGCCTCATGCCACCAAGCACCTGCAAGTGTGGATGCTGTGACAATTTTTTCACTCTACTTACAAACATAAACAAACCCATGTCATTTACCAACTTAATATAATAAAAATATGAAGGCATGTAGGTACACCATGTGTCTATACATATAGACAGACCTGATCCAGCTTGGTACGAGGGACATTCTGCTGGTGATACAAGAGGATGGAGTCTGTGTGGCCATGCATCACCGCTTCTGCAGCACTGCAGAAAATAAAAAAGGGTTGTTAAATCTACTTAACAACAAAGAAATTGGGGGGGGGGGGAC